AGTCAGGCTAGTTCTGTTTGCTCACAGTTTGGTCTCGATTTGTCTTCAGAGTCTTTTAAGTTACATTTCCCCTACTATAAACTGGAATGAATAACTCCATTAAGTGGTTATTAGAAGTATCTAAGATGTCATTGATAAAATTCCTGGCACATAATAGACTCTCAAGGAATATTAATAACCCTCTCGGGGTACTTATACTTCCTTTCCCCATTTCCAACTTGCCATATTCATACCTGTAGATGCTGTAAGTCACGTAGATGGGTTATGATACTAAAACACAGAGCAAACAGCATCCTACCTCCAGGAGTGGCCTTTTCCTTACTTTGTCTTCCTATCTCTCCACAAATAGGTCTCTCCTTCTCGATTTCTGTAATGGAACCTCTTTACCTCCTGTGCTTTCAGCCATCAGCTACTCAGAGAGGGACGAAGGAGACACTGCAAGGTTGTTCTCCAAAGCTCAGGAGCCTAGGAAAGAAATCTGGTCTAGGGAGGCAGGTAGGAAAGGAATTGCTGTCTGCTGGAAACCAAAGTGAGCATGCAGAACACCTTAAACATGAGGTGGGGGGCTGGAAGCCTGGTATCTATGAAACAGGGTAAGAAGCAGAACAAGAGAAGGCCAGAGAAGCTAACTAGTCCTGACAGCCTCTCTCTCTCAGATTGTGGGTTGAAACAGTTGGATTTCATACATGCCCTCCATAGAGTGGTGGAATGGAAGAAAAGGAAGTAAGACAAGGTGTCCTTAGGTAGACAAGATACACAAACATGTCTCTATTATAAGACTAACAATATAGCATTGTATGAAGAAAAGTTATCCAGGAAACACAATTCAACTGCTTGCTTCATTAGACTCCAGGGTGTTCTTGAGTCCTGGAAATAAATTCTTAGTGTCAATGTTACTAGATAAATTACCAGCCCAAGATTTATGTAAAATCTAGTGCCCGTTAAGACCAATGTGTTATAGGTCATTAACAATAAAGAGCAAATACAAGGAATGTTTCCCTTGTGTAGAGTGACCTCCGTGGTCACGGCAGCACAGACAGGGTGCAGGAGAGGCCAGGCTGCCTGGATCCCTGCAATCTCTCATGATGTTCATCTCCCATATTCCTTCCCTAACACCTGCCACTTTAGACCCCTCCCTTTGCATGGCCATTGGACTTGTAGATTCCCTCCTTGTCTTTGAAGGTTTTATTTAAGGATGTGACTTTTAAGTAACCTTTGGCCTATGGGTCAGCAGTTAAGCTGTCCATTCTCCAGACCCCTTTTATCTCACGCCTTTTTAAGAACAAAGCTAGTTGTGCATAACATACATATTTTGACCATCTGAAGCCATTCGTAGGTGGTGAAACCTCATAAGGCAGGTGCTACAAGGGCAGTCTTGAATGAAGTTATTGGGAAAAAGATTTCTCAGGAAAATGCAGTCCATTCCAGTTTCAGTTCAAAGCACTGTGTTAGGAGAAGATAGAGGCATATTCTTAAAGAGTCCATCTCCATATAGCTCCCTCACTCTGAATGTGAGGGCACTTGCAGGGCTGTTGTAGGGGTTAATATCAGACTATCCCTGTCTGTAAGGAGTTCTTAACTTGGGGCTGGTGGAGGCCAGATTATACACAGATGTATCACAGTATAGAAGAAGTAAGGTTCATGAATCACATGAGGTGATTCTAAGAACAGAACAATCAGCATGAGTGGTGGAAATCTAGGAGGACTTCATGTAAGAGGTAGCATTTAAGATGATTATGTTTTTTGAAGATTTTACAAGTGGAATTAGGTACAGGTGAAGAGGTAAACACAGTGAGTGAGAATGGAAATATTCACATATGTAGACAGAATCACAAAAGTAAAATCAAAGGTATTAAAGAGTGGGGGGCATTTTCGGGGGTCATAGGTGAAGCAACCTTATTAGCATGTATAACATAGATATGGGATTGTGGAAGGCGAAGGAAAGGGTACAGCAGCACCAGGATATAGGGGGTCTGCTTGGTGGGGTTATAGCATTTGTCTCAATCTGATGGGTATGACACTGAAGTTTTGATAACAGGAGAGTGATTTGTCCAAGCTTTGATTTGAGAAGGACAGGGAGCTGTGTGAAACATGAAGTGAAAAGAGAGGGAAGGCAGGAGTTGGGGAGACTAATCAAGGGATGCTAGATTTTTTCTCCACTAAAAACAATGGGCAATGTAGGGGGAGGGATCAAATCTAGGTCAGTACCAAGAGGTTGGAAAGAATAGGTGACGTTCTTAGTAAACCTTTTAAATTCTTTTTTAAAAGGAAAAAAGAAACCAATGGCTTTCCTTAAATAATTTATTTTCAATAAATTAATAGTTACATAGCTAATTATAATCAATAGTTTGACACTCACCAAACACATCAACAAATAAAATCTTTGGTTGATACATCTAATCACAATCTACAAAGAACAATAACTCATTTCCATAAAAGGGCACATGAAGATTACTGACACTGTTGGGAGAGGAGCACAGCAATAAGGTGCTTATCCACTTGCAAGCCTAAAAACTCGGTTACTGAAAAGGACTGTAGGAAGTCTGGACACAGACACAGGGCCCTGGTATTATGTCCTCAGTGTCCACTAATTGTCTGTGTGCCCTGTGGAAAGTAATTTTAAAACCCTTTTCAACTTTCCTTCTCCGTAAAATGAGAAAGAGAATTAGCCAAATCTAGTGATCTATAGACTCCATGGACTAATTTGTACCTGATTCCTGAATGTTTTCAGTGGTGTCTATAGCAAACCTAACACTTTTTCACCCCCAAATAACAGAGTAGCATTGATTATATAATCATTCTAAACTTTTCTGTTGGGCTCAAATGCTCCATAAAGAAATGTGGCATCAGTGAACTCTTGTGTGTTTGAACTATAATTTCTTATAACAGCAATTACCAAGCCAGAAGTACAAGGCACCAAGGATGACTGTGGAGTGCCTTTGAAATTTGCTTCCAGTCCCATGGATCCCTTTCCAAGGTTTGACTCCACATGTAACTATAATTCTTTTTGAGTCACTTTAACCTAATACAGCTTGATATACAAAAACCCAAACAAGCTTGCCAAAGAAATAGCCTAAGAAGTGAATCATGGAATGTTTTAAATGTTTATTCCTTTATCAAAGGAGTCCCTGCAGTGTCTCTTTAGATAATTATCTCTCTCAACTAGTATAATGGTAACTGGATTACCTTGTGAATTCTCAGAAGCCAATCATTGATATTTCAGTGCAAAGCCGGCTACACACAGACTGTGGTCCCAATAGCAGAAGAGGGGACTCATTCTGAGAGCAGCAATAAAATCCTGTTCAGGCAAAGTGTTCCTCTGTGTTTCCCTTGGCAAGACATTAAAACAAAACTAATATGAAAATGCTGCCAAATGTGTTTTTTTTTTTGACTTCGTGTCAGATGAGAAAGTAATGCTACCAAGTTGACAGCTGTCATCAGAGTTTTGAGCTGTACTGTCACCTGGTAGTTTCAGGACAAAATGAAGTTCACATAAGCTCATGAGAGATAAATTAATATTTGAGGGAAATCTCCTGGCTTCAGTGCTGATGTGTTTCCCTGCACCATTCTAGGTTCCAAGAAAAGTTTACTGAATGCAGTTTAAATACAGAACCTAGAAGGAAAATGTATTGCTTCTGATAAACTGTGCTGCATGTGTGAATGACATTATGACCTTCCTATCTTGGGGTCATGAGACTTCAGTGGAGCATTCTGTTTCCTTCTGTCACCAAATCAACCTTTCATAAATCAGCCTTTCAACAATCAAATATCTTCTTTATAGCAGGGCAGGAAATTTAAAGTCCATGATTGTGTATACACTTGAAACCCATAATCTCAAATCCATCAGCTTCCTATCTGTGGTTAAGCTTTTAAAAACAATGTACTGTCAAGAACTTTGGGAAATAAAATGTCCACAAGACCATCAAATTAAACACAGTCTTGGCTTAACTACGGGATGTATCTTCAGACCCACATACCTTCAGGGTGCACGTAATGGTGAGTTCTGCCAGATCCTGGCTGTTTCTTCTACCTGTGAGCACTACCCCTCCTGGTATCAGGTTGAGTTACAGCCCCACAGCAGGGATGGCAAACTACAAATTCATCAATTCATCAAAGTCTGGTATTACAATTATATCGTCTACGCTAAACCTTTTGTTTTAAGTCCTCAGTTAAAAAGTCACTAAATGGTGATGTTTGGACTTTTATAATAATAATTGAATTTAACAAGTCTCCAATCAGCAGGAACTCAGACCGAATTCAAAGTTTTAGTACCTGACATGGGAACAGAGGTTAAATAACCTATTTCAGCTAATTATACTGCATTAAGAAAACTACAAACTCCAATTCATAAATTATCAAGGACTTTTGCCTCCTGGTATTATCTTCTGTTTGTCGAGATAGAGAACATATAGATGAAAGGTTCCATGCAGTTCACACCTCACATTTCCATACAGATAAAGGGTACAGAACCTTTCATGTGTATCTGCTGCCCACCTATAATCCTCAACACCACATGGGCCTTTTTTCCCATAAACATTCCCACAAATTTCCAGGTTGATTTCTGCAGGACGATCCTTTCCTTTGCCAACCTTAAGACTTAGTCCATTTATTCTTGATCAAAATATACACTGTTTTTTCTAAAATAAGTTCTAAAATATGTTCCAAAGGAAGCATTTTCAACTCATCTACCTGAAGATTCATTATCACAAAACTCCTTGTAATGAGAAAGACACTAATAAACCAGTGGCCCCCAAATTAGTTTTTAAGTGACGGTGTTTTGCCCCCAAACATCTATGTGAGGCCCCAGGGGTTGGACGGTCCACAGTCATGTGTCTTGCAGCCTCTGGACTGCTCTCTGAGCTGCCCCTGAGCCACCTCCTATGAAACTTCAATTCCCACCTCAGGAATTATTCAAGTTTATGCTGGAACATGCAAAAGGCTATGGGCCCCCAGGGACATCTGAACAAGCACTGCTCTGAGCAATGACTGTCAGGGCCACTCTAGGGAACGTGGTGACTGGGGCCAGGTGAGGGCACCTTGCAGTCACCCAGCAGAGTATCCGGCAGGTGGGGTTCTTGGGGGAAGAGTTCCAGAATGTTTCCCTGAGCCACTACTCCTGCTTGCTGGAGACTTTGCTCCCCTAATACCTTGACCAAGAAGTTGATATACCTCATTGCCAGACGAAGTGTTTCATTCTTGCTTAACTTTTTGTCTGGAGGGTGAGTAGGGATGAGCTTCCTCAGCCTGGCAAAGGCACTGTTGACATTCTGCTGCCTCCAGCGCTCCCTGGTGTTTGTGAAGATCTTCCTGGTCATGTCGGAGTCCCTGAGGGGAAGGGGGCCAACACGTTGTAAGATGCCTGATAGACATCCCAAGTCCTGCCATGAACATGAAGTACTAGACTTTCCCTACCCACATTTTAGGAAATTTGTATCCTTAGTTCTAGGTTTTTTGAATGTTCCTTTCAGTAAGTGGAGAGAATGTAGAAAGAGCAGGGTAAGAACCACCCTTTTGCTTTTCCTTCCCTGGATGTTTTGAAGTCTCTGGGTACAAGATTGCCCTACCCCAGTACATCTATTATTCCTTTTATAACCAACTCTAATTGCTCAGTGTCAGGCACAGTATAGGACTGAATAGATGTGTGAGTAAGTTATATATCATTTATCAATAGAGGGCTGAACACAGATTCTTTAAAAATGCTGTGATCCTAGGTTTCCTTAATGAGATGATCTTTCCAATGAAGGAAGCGTCACATAGGGAAAGGAACTCATACCTCCCGGCTTCCTTTCTATCCCAGCCACTCTCAGCTTGAGCTGCTCCTTGGAATCACCCAGGTGGCACCACAGGTCAGTGATGTCTCTGAGGGACTCAGTTCTTTTCAGTGGATCAGCAGGTCCTCAGGAAACAGATGCTGAGTTACAGTTGTCCATGCAAGGGGCTCTTGGGGTGAACGTCTGTGAAAGATAAAAAGGGAAGGAAACTTAATTGGGCAAAAGCAGCCTTCAAACCTGTAATGCCCACCATGAGTTATTAACTCTGCCCTTATATATTAAAAAAAAAAAAACGCAATGATGACTGGTGTTAAAGGGAACAAGTTCATCTCTCACCACAAGCCCAACTCTCTAGGACTCTGTAGCCAGCGTGGGTGGATAAGGGCACATGTTCCAGAGCCACAACTCTGGCTTGGCTTTCACTTTCCTCTTCTCACCTATGTGACCTGTGCTTCAGACCTCACCAGCAAAGGTTGACTGACTCATGGGCCTACTGACGAGGACACAAAAAATGATACAGGCAAAACACCCAAGGCCAGTGTTTGACATGCAGAAAGTACTCGATACATGTTAAATGATTGCAAGCATTATCTTTACAAATAAGACACATGTAATTGCTTATTGTAACAGCAATTCTTTATTTTTCATAATAAAGAAACTACAGTTTAGTAGAAAAGGTCTTAAGTTTATCTGTATTTGTTTTATGCTATGCGAGTGTGTGTATGTGTGTGTGTGTGTTTACACAGAACAAACTATCTGGAAGGATTCAGCTCAGGCCAAATGGTCCACAGAGGTTCCTTGGGGGTAGGACAGTGGGTTGCAGGAATAGAAAAAAAGAAAAACTTGTGCTTTATTTTGCATAGTTGATGTCCCTGTATATTTTTATATTAAGAAGGTATTCATATGGTAGTTGTTTCATAATATAAAAAACTTTAAAGCAGAAAAACCTGATACAGAATCTCAGTTCTTAATTTCCTAATTACAGGAATTTGAGAAAAATCAGTTCATTTTTTTCTTCCCTAGAAAATGGAGAATCAGCCACCAGTAGGGTCCTTGTGAGGATTAAACGAGCCACTATGTAAAGCATAAGTAAGCTACTATGTGCCTGGCACAAGGGTACTTAATAAATTCCAGGGCTCTCTCCCCTGTGCAGAAGAGACATGACATTACTCCAGAGCATAGCATCTTGGACCTTCTGTGTGCCTCTGGGACACTGCTGCTGCCTCTGGATGGAGAGTGCAGTGTGGTGCTGTGGACCCAGTAGAGAGCAGCAGAAGCATGGCAGCCCCTCAGTCCCACTTCCTCTGCAGAACCACTCCCAGTGAGACCAACAACAGTCACATGCACCTACTGCCACCACATGTGATAATGGGCTGCTGTTTTTGGGGGGAGGGGGCAGTGTCACATGGAGGGAGGAGCTGCAGGAGCCGAGAAACAGCACCTGACCCGGGTATTCTAGGGGCTTCCAGACCAGTCAAGTATCCTTCCAAACTGAAGGGGTGAGCCAGTGAACCCCAGTGTCTCTTTTTGCTCTGAAATGCCCCCATGCCCTGCCTATTGTCTTTTATCAAAATTTTCATTTCTAAATAGCCTGATTTTTGGTTATATGACAAAAATACGAGTGCTGTCAGAACTGTGTCTCAGAATATCAAAAATATAAGTTTGACCCAAAAGCAAAGGGATTTTAACAGAAAGAAAATGATCCAGTTTTGTATACCAAGTGGCTAGTTGCTTTACAGCTACGACTGTAAGAGTAAAATTAGTTTCAAACTTCTCTCATCAAAGAGGATTTAGTTCATTCACCAAGTCAACTCTAGTCCCACAGGGGACCTTTTGCAAGCTGGGAAGAATAAGATTAGGCAGGATAAGCTAACTGGTGTTCTTTTCTAAGAGGGCCTGATCCTTTGGGCGAGAAGCAGAAAGAGAGGGAGAAGGCAGACTTCTGAAATGCCGCCTGCCATCCTAGGAGGTGCTTAATAATTACTTGTTGATTTTTCCTCAAGTGTGTTACTCTCCTTCTCCACAGGGGGGAAAGAGAAATCAGAGGTTGAACAAGCTGGGAAAACTCAAAGTAGAGGTCAGTGGAAAATTATGAAGGTACTTATTAAATCAAAGGAAAATGACATTTAGCAATTTTTTTCCAGTTGCAAGGACTGATTGCTGCTAACCTTGACATCAGCGTAATTTCAGAGCTTAAAATATGTATCAAATCCCAGAGAAGAGAATAGTCAATAGAGTTCAAAACAGGGCTGTAATTTTGCCCCGGGTCATACAGGGAATGCAGGAAAGCCTGTGTCCTAATCTGGATATTTATGTACCTACATCACCAAAACTCCGGCTGGGGTGGAGTCCACAACCTGTTTTTGTGCCATGGACCCTTGCGGCAGCTGGAGGCAGAGTCTGCCTCAGAACGATGATTTTTAAAAAAACTAAAAAGTCTGTGATCCTTTTTCCTAATAATGATTTTAAACACATAAATTAAAATACATAGACACAAAATAATGAGTTATGCTCGATAGTTATTATAATAATTGTAATAATTTAAACATGCAATCCAGTAATGCATGTGCTTCATTGTAAATGTATTACCTAATCAAATTAATTACCATTGCTATGTGCAATGGCATTAAATGATCTTTCCAAAAGATGGACAGTCTCTGAAATATGAGATGAAAACATCTGTGATTTCTACTGGTGACAAAGTTGCCAAAACCATTAACACCCTGCACTTTATTGCACACATTCATACATGAAGGATATGCTAAATGTAGATTAAAGGTTGGTGAGTGATTTTTTCCCCCCACTCCATATACAGAAACCCTGAACTCTCTCTCTACATAGGGGCTGGTGGTCTCATGGGTTCCAGGGCTAAGGATGCCTGGGCACTGGAATGTCGTGGTAAATACAGAAAGATTACAGATGTGCACAAACTTCTATTTATATCCTTCTTCTATTTATATTCTCACTACTGCAAGTACAGTTTACTGAAGAAGAATGACAATTATGTGCCCAGAGAAGGTGACTAACATGCCCAAAAGGAGCTGCTGCTTCCCCCCACCCCCACCCCCGCCCAGTTCATGGTTCAAGGACAGAGTTCCGTCAACTAGAAAGGCGGTGAAAACACTCTCCGGCAAGAAGGAAAAGAAAGGTCATTTCTATGGTTTGGGCTAGAGGAAATTGCCTAACCTCCCAAGCCAGGCACAGCTCAACATTTTGAAAGTTTTAAAGTGATACATGCTCCTTTAAGAGGAAAAAAAAAAAAAATCAAGCAGTGCACAGGTGCATACAGTAAAAAACAAGTAGAAAGGAAGGAGGGGTCTCCCCACCTAAGTGCACACCTTCCCACTCAACCTCACTCTCCAGCTGCAAATGGTTTGGAATGTGCACGCTTCTTAAAAGTCACTAGAATACTATCGTTCAAGTTACTTGTCTCACTTCGACAGCTCTGCCTGTTGAAGTTCTAATAAGTACATTTTCTACGAATGCCGGTCTTTGGTGGGCACCTCGCGCTGGGAGAGACACCTGTTCCCAGGTGCGCTACGCGGGACCCTCCAGAGACCCCCGAAACAGCCCGATCCCAGCCAGCCGCGCTCGCCCGCTTCATCTTTTCTTTTCCTTTGCTGCAGCTTCGCGGGCTGTGTCCGGTCCAGGCATCCAGGAAAATATCCCGTGCTAACGTGAGCGGTGGCCAGGTGTCCGGCCCGGGGAGGTGCTCTGAGGTGCCCCGCCGCGCGCGTGGAACCACGCGCCCTGGCCCTCGCCCCGCGGAAAGCCCCCCGGTCTTCTCACCGAGTTGCCTTGCAGCTGCTACCGGGTCGCCTCCACACCGCTGCTGTCCGGGAGAATGAAGCCCGCCGGCCTGCGACGCGAGCCCTGGCCGCGCGGGGTCCCAGCCCCGAGGACACGTACCTCGGCGACCAGAGCCAGGAGCCCGCGGGGGTCGCGGCGGCCGTCGCGTGCGCGCCCTGGCCGGGGCCCGCGTCTGCTCTGCAGCCTTTATAGGCACCGCCCTTTGTTAGCCGCCCCCCCACCCCGGCCCCTGCGGGCCCCGAACTCCCGCGGGTCCCTCCCCACCGCTCGCGTCGCCTTTCCCGGGGCAGCCCTCCCTGCGCGCTAGGAAGGGGGCAAGGGCGAAAACAGGAGCCCACTTTGTGTCAGGTTTGGGGCGAGGGACGCAGCCGCCTACCGACCTGGGCTGCAGCCAAAGGTCGAGTCTCTTCCCGCAAAGGGCACAAAAAATCAAAGTCACTTAACCCCCCCCCCCCTTGTATGTTATCTCTAACTAGTCCAAGAATCACTTGCTTCAGACTCGTGGGTGAGGAAAGGTAGATCCGTTGGGCATGGGATCTGAAATCGGCCTTTTTACTGATTACCACACCCCCCAACCATCGCCCCAACATTAAGATGCGCAGCAAAGTTTAACAATCCCTGCACTGGACAGATACACAGATTTCTTTAATGCTTTCCCCAGTACCCAGCACAGGATTTGACTTGGCAAGTGGTTTTTCTTTTTCTGCACTTCCCTCTTTCCCTCTGTTGGCCAA